GCTGCCCCCCCTCCCATGGCACAGAGAAACCCCCGCACACTGCCTCTCCCGGGGCCAACTCCTCCCTCTAGCGGTGCAGGGGAAGCTGGTGTGTGCCTCCCCCGGGGCCAACTCCCTGCGCTCCTCCTGCGGCGCCAACTCACCCCTCCTGCGGCGCAGAGAAGCCACCGTGCTCCTCCTCCGGGGCTGACACCAGGCATTACAAGAAGGGGAAGGGGAAGAAGAAGGGGAAAGGGTAGGGAATTTGGCACCCCATTTAACTTGGCGCCCTAGGCAGCTGCCAAGTTTGCCTATAGGCACAGGCCGCCCCTGCTTCTGCTAGCCCCCTTCATGAAAGTCGGCAGTAATCTTAGTTCCTAATCACGACCATCTCCATTTTATTACTATATGCAACTTCTGTTCTATTACAATGCAGCGTTTGCACAAGCCATTGCCAGTCTATGCCGGCCCAGCTATTCCCAGGTGCACTTTACAAACAGGGCATTCACAACAACGCTACTGGCCACCAACTGCCAACCTTGACGCCACACAAAACCTTGCTCACAGACCAAACGCCTCCTTATTTACTTACCCTGGAAAAAGGAGTGGAAGCAGAGCTTCAGTTCTAGACCAGTGTGTATTAACTTAGGGCACGTCCCTACCACCAATGTAGGTATAATCGCAGGATGGATAGGCTTTAATCTAGCTGACATGACTAACACAGATGCAGTAGCATAGGCTCTAGCACAGACTAGCAACCTGTGTGTGTCAGAGTCCTTAGTGGACTTGTACTGGGGCTGCCGGGGATACTGCCATATCTTCACTACTATTGTTACCAATACTAGCAAGGCTAAAGCTTGCGTAGATACATCTACCCATGCCACAATGGCACCTTCATTTGCCATGTAGACATACCTGAGGCATAACAACGCTGGGTAGAGAAATGCATTTTTAATAAGTGATCCAACAGGTTCCATTTCTCTGACTTCGCAGTGGTTCAGATTCTCATTTACACTTGTCTCAAGTGGCCAAGTTACTATAAACACACTCAGTGGCTTCTGCCAGGTTATCAGAGAGCTCAGGATGCATGTTCATTCTAGAAATATCTGAGGGAAGGATCTCCGACTTCTGAGTGGGAGGCTGCTGACACGGATTTATTCTAGGCATCTGGAGGCAGGCCCTAGTTTAGGTCACAAACTTCTGTGGTCCCCTCCTGAGCTCTACTAACGTACATCAACATCACAAGTTTTCACTTATCATACCATTGCATAGCATCCATCATTTGTCAGAATTAAAACATCTATTGGAGACGTGTGGTTGGCAACACATATACCTCCTTTCTGCGGTCGGTTTTCCCTGCAGTGACAGGAAGTAAGAGTCACTTAACTGTATAAAACGTAACTATGATGCCTACTTAACAATATTTTCCTGGACTGCTGGACAAGCCATGTCAAAACACATTAAACTGCATTCAAAAGGTTAATAAATATTCTGCTGATTATATTCAGTGTTTCACACTCATTCATGGGACACTGAACTTCAGTGGAATAGTAACAGCAGCAGTTTAGAATAATTTTGTTGACACCTGCAAGCTACAATACGGTTTTGATTATTTTCTAACCTACAGAAAATTGTTGGTGAACACATTGTCAATTTACAGACTTGACTTACTGATGAGCGGTTCCACGACTACCACCCCCAAAAGAAGGAGGGTGGTGGTGGTCGGGGACTCCCTCCTAAGAGGGACTGAGCCATCTGCCGTCCGGACCTGGATTCTCAAGAGGTGTGCTGCTTACCGGGAGCTTGAATTCAGGATGTGACTGAGAGGCTTACAAAACTGATCAAACCTTCAGATCGCTACCCTTTCCTGCTTCTCTAAGTGGGAACTAATGATACAGCCAAGAAGGACCTTGAGCAGGTTACTGCAGATTACGTAGAGTTGGGAAGAAGGATCAAAGATTTTGGAGTGCAAGGGATGTTCTTGTCCATCCTCCCTGTTGAAGGGAAAGGACTGGGATCATTGAATTGAGGAAGTAAATGCATGGTTGTGCAAGTGGTGTCGCAGAGAGGGCTTTGGTTTCTTTGACCATGGGACTTTGTTCTGGGCACAAGGATTGTTAGGAAGAGATGGGATCCACCTAACCAAGAGAGGAAGGAGCATCTTCACGGGCAGGCTTGGAAGCCTGGTGAGGTTGGGGGACGGTGACCAAAACCCTGAGGTGAGTGGGGAAGTCGGATACCGGGAAGAAATGCAAAGAGGAACGAGCAACAAAGAGGACCCTTTATTCGAATGCAGAGGGTAGGGCGATCAACTGGTTATCTAAGATATTTGCACACCAATGCAAGAAACCTGGGTAAAAAACAGGAAGAATTGGGGGTCCTGACAATTTGATTGGGATAACAGAGACTTGGTGGGATGACTCGCATGACTGGAGCACTGTCATGGAAGGGTATAAACTGTTCAGGAAGAACAGGCAGGGGAGAAAAGGAGGAGTTGCACTGTATGTAAGAGCACTATGATTGCTCAGAACTCCGGTATATAGAGGGAGAAAAGCCTGTTGAGAGTCTATAGGTCAAGTTTAGCGGTGTAAACAACAGCAGTGATGTGGTTGGTGTCTGCTACAGGCTGCCAAATCAGGTGGATGAGGCTTTCTCCGGACAACTGAGAGAAGTTTCCAGATCGCAGGCCCTGGTTCTCCTGGGGGACTTCAATCACTCTGACATCTGTTGGCAGACCAATACGGCAGTACACAGGCAATCCAGGAAGATTTTGGAGAATGTTGGGGATAACTTCTTGGTACAAGTGCTGCAGGATCCGACCAGAGGCTGGGCGCAGCTTGACCTGCTGCTCACAAACAGGGAGGCGCTAATAAGAGAAGTAGAGGTGGGTGACAACCTGGGAAGCAGTGATCATGAGATGATAGATTTCAGGATCCTGACCAAAGGAAGAAAAGAGAGTAGTAAAATACACACCTTGAACTTCAGAAAAGCAGACTTCCATGGAGGAGATGTAGGGTCTCGGATGGAGATTGGGTGAAGGAGGGGGTTCTGACCTGGGGCAGTGGATTGGGGTGCAGGGTCCAGGAGGTGTATGGGTACATGAGAAAATGGAGGAGTGCAGGAAGTGTAGGAGGGAATTGTGATCTGGGAAGGGGGGTACAAAGGGTTTGGCTGGTGACCTGGGGCAGAGAGTTGGAGTGCCAGAGGCAGGGACACGTAGGCGGCACCCAGACAGCACCCATAGCCCTAGTCTGCTCAAAATGGCTGTCTGCTCCCTTCACGTGTCTCTCTGCACTGTGTGCACAGGGAGGGTGGGGACCCAACCGGCCAATGAGAGCTGCAATAATTGGGCTGGGGCAGCGCATGAAGTCTACCCTCTCCCCCTGAGGCACACCACACCAAGAAGGAGCCATCAGCTGTTTTGAGCAGCTTGGGGCTGCAGCAGGCGGAGAGTCTGTCTCGGGGTCTTGGCAGGGTGGGCTGCATGTTTGATCAAAAGACTTGGTGAGCTAGATCCAGCCCACAGGAGATATGGTGCCTGCCCCAATCTAGAGTTGTGTACCCCCTTTACAGTAGTAGAGCACAACACAAACTTACTTGTTATGGTAGGTGATAGTACCCGACAGCGCTCGGACGAGGATCCGGGAGCATGTCAGGTGGACCAGTTCACTTAGCCAATCTTTAAATCTGAAAGACATGCACATTTATCCTTCTAAGCACTCTTGGAAGGCAGCGATATTGAAGTGGTTTTCCGCAGAGCTTGCAAAGTGTTCCAATTACAAGGACTAGGCCAAAGCCTTTATTGCAATAGTAACATGTTCCAAGCAGTGGGTTGGGATTCTAGGGGCCTATTCCCAGCTCTGCCACCAACCTCCTGCAACACCTTGGCCAAGTCACTTCACCTCCAACTCAGTCTTGTCTGTTTAGATAGTTCTACTCCAGCGAGCCTAGCACCTCCCTGTGGTTATTTTATATACACACCCCAGCAGAAAGGCAGCCCAACCAAGACTGAGTCCCCAGAGGAGCTTTCATCTATAAAGAGAGTGACGATGCCACTGGCAAAGAGCCAACCTGTATAGCAGAGACCTCCCAGGCTCCTCTGGCGAGCCTGGGGAGGAACCACATGCAGACCGAGACCAGGTGGAAGAGGAAGTGTTTATACTTCACTGCTGCTCTGAACAGCGGCTAGCGTGACTTCGGGGTTTCAGGTTTAATTGGTTATTTCCATGATGAGCAAGTTCACTGCATAAGCAAGAAGCGGAGTTTATGGTTTGCCATCCCTGCCAACTCAGCCTGCACCCAAACAAATCAAATGACTCTCCTGACAGCCACCAGTAATGAAAGGCCCTTTAGGCCAAGACAGACTCTCCATTACCTTAACACAATACTTACTGCAGTGGAGAAATGAAGCATGAATCCAGTCCAAAAGTGACTGGGAAAGGAAACTTGTGTGTTCTCCCAGTTCTCTCTTCAGCGATCATGGCTGTCTTTTAAAAGTGGCCTAATTTCTCTTGGACCTGCAAAGCCAGGCCAGCTCTGGGCCACGAGCTGGATTCTAGTCCTTTGCAGCATTGTCGGACCTGTTCACTCATTCTCAGCTGTGGCACCTGTGCTAACCCACCTTTTCCTTGTTTGTTGCCTCACACCTATCCCCCGCCCCCGCTGGCTTTCCCCCATTTTGTGTCTCACGTGTCTTTTGTTTTCCCCTTCAGCTTCTGCTCCCAGGCATTCTGTCAGCCTCTCCAGTCACCAGCTCAGTGCCACGCATTTGCCCAGTCTCACCACTGCGGACATTCTCTTCATACATCAATGCTCTATATTTATTCTCACCTTTTCCCTTGCCCATCATGCTGCCCTCTTGGAATCTGTTCCAATCAACCTTATTCCAATCTCTGGCACTTTTCACCAACCCCGTTTCCCCACCAAATGACTCAATGGGATCCAAACTGCCTCCCTGGTTAGATTTCATCACCTTCCACACAGCCTCCTGTCTTCCCCCCTCATATAACATCACACAAGTCCAGCCTCTAGGTCTCTTCTGTTCTTAGAGGCTATCCTATCTCCTCTCTTGAGGCCTCAGTTTAGAGCTTCATGTCCATAACCACGTAATCTTCACCAGCCTACACATCTGACCTCCTTTCTTCTCTATACTCCTCCCAGTCTTTCAGCTTACTGGTTCTAGGACTCTTGCTCAGCACAGCTGAGGGAGGCAGAAAACCACCTTTTCCAATTCCAAGGCTGGTTGGGAACCAAAATGACAAATTCAGTGCAAGTTGACAGAGCAGGCCATGATTGCTGTAACTCGACTTGCTGTAGTTCAACTAGAAGTCACTGGGCTTAATTCAGGGATCAGGTGAAAATCCACTGCCTGCCTTATGCAGGAACTCAGACTAGGTAATCTTAACCACCCTTAATATGGGAACAATTCAAGATTCCCCTTTTTCAGGCAGCTTCAAGTCCCCTCCTAAACTAGGTCTTCCACATTCTCAGCTTTGCAACTTCTGTCACATTGCCCTCCCGCCCCCGGCTCAAACTTTTATTCTATTACAAGTTCTTCAGAGCATCCCTGCAGACACCTTGTAAATTGGCAGTTTTAGAGGAAGAGTTGAAAAAACCCACAATATTAACTTCTCATTCTTGGCACAGATGCCTGATCATGGATGTGACAGGTCTGGTATGGGCAGGGTATATCCCAAGTTCTCCAAAAGTCTTCTGTTAATCCAGGGAAACCACCACACACTTACCTGCTATTTGGCAACTTCCCTACAAGTGTGGTTCCCACAATCATTGAAACAATCCCAATGGCAGCCAATGCAGCGCTAAAAATGAAAAAGAAAGCGACAAGATGGTTAGCCTGCAGCAAGAAGATCCCTGTTGGAGGTGAATTAGGGCAACTGATGTTATGAAAGTGAAATATACTAGCCAAATATATATGTGTCAAACTGTCTAAAAAGTGTCATGTAATATCATTGAAAAACATGACTCATTGATAATTATGGTCGTCTGAAGTGGGTTGTGCCCACAAAAGCTCATGATACCATCTACATGTTTTGTTAGTCTTTAAAGTGCTACTAGACCATTTATTAAGTTTTTCCTGATAATAAATGTTCTTGCATTCTATATGCATGTGCAGTTAATTACATGAAATTATATAGATGCCATGTGACTAACATGTTCAAACCAGTCATCTTAGGGAAAGTTGATCAACAATGTCTTCTAGCCAAAGGAAAGGGGCCAACTCCTCAAGGCAGGCCTGGCCAAGGACAGTGGGCTATTCATTTGTATCTGAGATTGCAGGAAGAGCATTTGCATTGTAGAAGTCAGAGGGGGGAAAAGCCAGCACGGCTGCTATGGAGTCAATGCCCTACAGGGGAAAGAAACTATCTGGGGACATCCCTTGGAAGATTATATAGAATCACAGAATACTAGAACTGGAAGGGATCTCAACAGGTCATCGAGTTCAGTCTCCTGCCCTCACAGCAGGACCAAGTGCTATCTAGACCATCCCTGACAGATGTCTATCTAACCTGCTCTTGAATATCTCCAGTAATGGAGATTCCACAGCCTCCCTAGGCAATTGATTCCAGTGTTTAACCACCCTGACAGTTAGGTCCTAATGTCCAACCTAAACCTCCCTTGCTGCAGTTTAAGCTTATTGCTTCTTGTCCTAGCATCAGAGGCCAAGGAGAACAATTTTTCCTCACTCCTCCTTGTAACACTCTTTTAGATACTTGAAAACTGCTACCATGTCCCCTTCTCAGTCTTCTCTCATAGGTTGTGTCAAAGAGCAGGGAAGAGAACCCAAAACTTATCCATTATTCTCCAAGATGGCCAATAGCATCTGGAAACTGACTCTGGGTGAGAAACCTGCCTAGACCAAGGCAGCGGCCTTCTGACACAAAATGGTAATTTTTGGGAGAGTATTTTTCCTTATGTGTGTTTCTAACTGTATTTCTTACACTTGATATGGCCTTTTGTTAAGAAACTTGTCTTTTACCATAAAGCCGCTCAGTGCTCTGACTGAAATGGAAGAATTGTCAGCCCCAGCTAAGTTAACAAGCTTCTCTCTGCTGCTTCTTTAAAGAAGCAGCAAACTAGAGAAGGTTTTGTGGATACTACCATAAGAGGGGCTGCAGAAAGACATTTTAGGGGGAGAATTTGGGGCTAAAAGGTCAGTGAGGTCTCCCTACAAAAAGGAAGCGGGTGGTGGGAGCCAGGGCGAGACTGCCATTCTTGTAAGTTGTCTATTGGTGTCAGGGCTGTGAGGTACAGTACTCAGAGCTACAAGAAGTGTTGGCTGAACCCCTTACTGGCCTGGGTGAATTCCAGTGCTTCACCATGCACGTACACACGAAAACCTAGTCTCCCCATGTTTGGCTCACCGAAGAGGCAGCAGGAGACAGTAGCGCACAACTACCCCAAGGACCCACACTACGGTCAGCCGGAGGCTGATGTACTGGAAGTTGACATTAGTCCTTGTGAGGAGGTTCCAGGATACCAGTTCCTCTGAAGAAAACCTCTGAGTGACTTCATCTTCCACAATAGCCTCAATTCCCTTCTTGGAGAAATAGAAGACATCAGAAAGTTCAAAGTCGACTCGGCGCAGGCCCGCAATCTCCTTCTCCATAGTGGTCTCATCTCTCTGTATGATACCTTAACAGAAGTGTGAGGAAATGACTAGATAATTGAAGAATGGATATAAGTAGTTCTGTTGTCACAAGGAATTACTTGCTGCTCAGATATTGAGCTAAATATCAAAGCCATGCAAATTACACTGCCAGAATGGCATGTCATGGAATATCCGCATATATTATAAGACAGGCCAGTCATCATACCTCTCCTCCCCCCCTCCCAATCTTCCCCCCGCCCCGCCTCCCTAAAATGCAGATCTTCTTGTTCACTAATCCATGCATGTTTCTAAAGCCTGATATAGGATGACCATTAGAAGCTAAACTATGCATCCTCACACAGCTACATGTATCTACCCACAGGGATGATCTAGGTAATGTGCTCTTATGCTTGCTGAAATTATTCTGAAAGAAACATATGCTTTGCCACTTCAACAATAGCATTTTAGGACTAGACCAAGATGTGTTCCACATGAAGTATAAAATAGATACCCGACATCATTTACATTAAGGTCCCTTTACATCACTCTGGCAGTGCAACAGAGCCTGCCAATGTAGATTACATTCACTCCAAGGCTCTTTGGCACTTCCCGAGAAAGGTGACTTAGGCACAGCTTCTCCTCCCTTCCACCCCCACTGCAGCAAACCCTTATTTAAGGTGTACATTCTCCTCTCTCCAAGATCTTTCCTACACCTACCACCTGTTTGTGTTGGACATCTTTGTTCCGCGCCACCCAAGTTACCAGGTCTTGGAGCACCAACTGTGGCTCAAACCTGAAGAGGTGCTGAAAATTGCTCATCTTTGGCCAGACTTGCAGCTAGCCTACATTTGGCACTAGTTCAGCAGCACCCTGGCCAGCAGTGGCTCACCAGCCACAACTGTATTTGCTCATTAGAGAAAAATTCTGCAGGCAGCTGTGCCAACAGTTCCTGTAAGAACGCAGAGCCCTGCCCCCTGCTTTATTGCACAAGACCTTAACAACTGAACTGCAACATTTGACCTTTGTCCATGTAATGCAAAGAGAGCCAAGGAAAACCTAAGGATTTGTTCAGAGCTGCATTAGAAATGGCACTAGTCGTTGCCCAATGTTTTTACTATGGTAGAATAATTAAAAAGATTGTAGCACCACCAAGTAGCTGGAGATCAGGGACAAAAAAAACCTAGTGCTGTCTAGAGCTGAAAATCCTGCTTACTTAAGATGGCTTGAGGAAATCAGTAGAGGCCTAGCCACACAGGTCTCCTATTTCACTCAGAGGCAGAATGACCTTGTAGTTGGGACACTGAACTGGGATTCAAAATCAGAGATCAGTTCCCAGTCTGGCCACAGACTACATGGCCTGGGGCAAGTCACTGGACTCCTGTGCTTCAGGATCTCTCGATATTGCCACTTTGGTTGGTCAGGGTTGTGACAAGACCAAACACACATCTCCCTGACCACCTAAGTGTCACCAGCACACAAAAGTGTTGGTGTGGACAGGACCACGTGGGCAGGAGATACTCTCTTGCCAATATAGCTAGCTTCCTTCCTTGAGGTTGGTTTAATTACGCTAGCAAGAGAGCCGGGGCGGACTGGCCCGGCAGGATAACGGGAATTCCTTGGTGGGCCGTTGTCAGAAGGGCTGCCGCTCCTGGGGGCAGGGCCAGCACATTTCTAGGGGGAGAGGCGGCATTCTGGCCACATCCCCCGAGCACCAGGGACAAGCAAGACCCTCCTCCAGTTTCTCTGGCCGCAAATGCACCCAAGGGGCACCCATGGCCTGGTGCCGTCACCACATGGGCCCCCTGCTGTGGATGTCCCCTGCCCGGGCACCGGCTTCCCCCCCGGGTGCCGCCTGCCCGGACCCCGGCAGCTCCAGGTTGGGGCAAGCGGCAGGCACCTTCCCCTGGCCGTCCCTCAGCAGCTGGCTCCCATTGCTGCTGCACCTGCCACTACAGCTTCCCCCTGCCTGGTGCCACTAAGTGCTCAAGCAATCAGCATCAGGAGACAGCCATTGCCTGCTCCGGCGGGAGAGCTGCGATCGCAGCCGCTCCGCCGTGCCACCCTCCACTGCAGTTCCCTCCAGCCAGCAAAGCAGCAGCCCAGAAAAATGAGGGGGAGGGATAAGAGAGGGCCAGTGCTATTTTGGGGGGAGGGGGAATTGCTAATTTCTAATGGGACCCTATGCAACAGCAGCCACCTCTGCTCCCAGCTGGGGTTCCCTGATTGCAATGTGTGGTGCGCCCTCCAAAAACTCTCCACTCTGGCTGGAGGGAGGGCGAGGCAGCCGGCTAATCCCAGGTGCACTTAATTCAAACTAGGTAAACCTCATTCTATGAGGACTAACGCCTAGTTCGAATTAACTAGTTCGAATTAAGGGCTGTGTAGCCCCTTAATTC